GTTTGTGAGGAAACAAAAGGGATAAAATTGGTATGAGAATATATGACATCAGCATTAGGTAATTGATGACATCTTATGAATAGTAAACCTGGGAAAACAGTGAACAGGCACCTTGCTGTTTTTATTACTGTGTTTATACATAGTGCACAGTTGCAAATTTTTGTTTTCCTAGATATTTATATAATTATGGTATGAAATATTTTAAGGTCTTCGAGTCGATTTTTATGTAAATTTTTTGGGATAGACTATTATGCCCAAATATGTAAATCATACGAAATATGAGAATTCTAAAGAAATTTCTTGAGTTATTTGATATCGCTATCAATTGCTCTAAATTTAAGAATGTCGGGTACGTTATGTCGTTTTATATTTATATCATGTTAAATAAGAATTTGCACTTATTTTTATTGAATGTTTTTAAAATACTCACTCTTACAATAATTTCATATTAAATAGTCGTGCTGGACACGTAGAAGATTGGACGAGTGAATGCTTATGGATTGCCAAGTAAATTTTTATCAAGGATTTATGATTAATTAAATTTGACAAGTAAGTCGTGTTATTTTAAGATTTAAAGATATGTAAAAATTTCTAATTTAAATTGTTGAATTTAAATTAAATTTTCAATTTACCACTCTAAAACACAAGATTTGTACAATAATGTCGAATTCCACTTAAATTATATAAGGATGATTTTGATAACACTTCAAGTCTATTTTTTTTAAAGAAGGTTGTGATAGATTTGGGGCGTTACAATGGCATGTTTGGTATTGATTTATGAGAATAGATTTAGTGAAAAAGCGATTTTTTTAGAATGTGTTTGAAAGTATAAAAAAGTTATTAAGAGAATGCGAATTTAAAAATGTGTCTGAGAACAAAAAACTAAGTATAAGAAAATGAGTACCAAATAAGAGCTAAACTTCTGCCTTCTGATTCAATATAATATTGGTATAGTACATATTAAAAGAAAGTAAAAAAATATTGACTCTTCTAAATCATATTGATGATCCCATTCATGATGAAAATTAGAAGACTTCATTATTAATTAGGCTAGGCTACAAAGCTCACTGGTTAATACTCTAGGTCTCTATTTGATACCAATTAAAATCAGATAATTAGTAGATTTTGATGTAATATATGTTTGAAAAATTGTGAATATCATGAGATATGTGATTAAAATTAATTGTTGATTTTGTCTTAACTTAAATTCTAGATTTGACGTAATATCATCTTTCAAAATTGAATGCAAACCTTATGAAAGCTAATATCAAAATAATTAGTAGGTCATACAGAAATATTAATCAAATATATAGTCATCATGATCAAGAAATTAAAATAGCTAAATGAATTTGTTTTAACCATTCCATTTGAATCGAACCATTAAATCAATTCAAATATAGTTGGCTGAAGTGAAGATAACACTACATGATCGTTACCAACTATAAGAAACAACTTCGATGTCGTTTTAGTTATGATTTAAATTAAAACGATCTCAATCTCGTAAAAGTTTTATTGAAACAACATGGATATCATTTTGTTGTTCCATAGGTTTGATACATAATGATATCAATCTCGTTGTAGTCATGATTTGAATTAGAACATTATCAATGTCGTTCTATATGAAAAGAAATGATATTTATGTTGTTTTAGATATGATTTTCACTTAAACGGGTTCAAACTCGTCAAATTTGTATCGAAACAATATGAATGTAGTTATGTTATTTCATGAGTTTGACATATCACGATATTATTGTCGTTCTATATGAAATAAACGATATCTATGTCATTTTAGTTATGATTTTCACTGAAACGAGTTTAATGTCATTACGCATAAAAGGAAACGATATCTATGTCATTTTAGTTATGGTTTTAATTGAAATGACTTCAATGTCGTTAAGCATGAAACGAATGATATATATATGTCGTTTTAGTTTTGATTTTAATTGAAATGAATTCATTGTCATTGCGCATGAACTGAAACAATATCTATGTCGTTTTAGTTATAATATGAAGCTGTAACGCTATCACTACTGTAAAAAAATGTACTAGAACAACATGGATGTCGTTTTCTTATTTCGTGGCTTTGGAGAATAATATGTACAATTAGAAAGTGTAAGGACCTGATGTACAATTTATTGAGGGCCCGATTGAAAGGAAAGTTAAAATTCAATGAGTAAATTGTGCAAGATGTATGTAGAAGGATTTGGGCTACAATTACTTAGAGGACTAAATTCAAAAGAAAGTAAAAGTCATCTAGGTGCGCCTGGACAGCTACAAAAGTAACCAATTACAGTGGGCGTGCGCCTTAGCTCATACTAGACACTCACCCTATTTGAAGAATGACTTCAATGTCGTTATGCATAGTCATAACGATTTCTATATCGTTATGAAAATCAGTGAAACAATGTGTATTTAATACTGAAACGATATCTAAATCGTTTTGTGTTTCAGGAACGATTTCAATATCGTTATGTTAATCCATGCAATTTTCGTATTGGAACGACATCTACATCGTTTTTGCATCCCAGGAACGATTTCACTATTGTAAGTTCTTCAAGAACTAAATGCTACCAACGCTTGATATTAAAATTGAAATCTTATTTTTTTCCACTTTAAGATTTCATAAAATTTGAATATGCACTCTTTGTTCGATATTGGGATGTTAAAATTATGCACCTTCTAAAGCATAAATATTGTGTTCTTATTAAACCCCTGTTTGATGGCTATTATTTTGAAAAAATGCGTTTTTGAATAGTAATTTTTGGAGAATGTATGATTAGAAATTAGGAAAAAATTTCGAGTTTATATGCAAAATATTTTATTGTGTAAATGTGAGGTTAAGAATAATGAGTATGACAATTAAAGAATTTTGAAATAATAGTTGTCAAACATGGGCTAAATATTGATATACTACTGGATTTGTGCTTCTTGAAGAGGAATTAAAGAATAATCTGCTACAATATTGTATAGTATAAAGTTCTTTTGTTCAAGAACAACTACCTAATATTAATTCATTTAATACATGCTTTTTCAGACGGATGACATTATATTATTCTAGAATAGTAATAAATCTTGTGTTTCTTCATAAAGCACGCCAAAATATTCTTCCTCAACATTGATATGTATAATTCATATTGCTTCTTCATGAGCAACATAATACTTTTACAAATATAAATATTTAAAGTTATGCTCAACAACGCTATACTCTTTGAGACTATGGATTTGTAGCAATAACACAATATGTTCTGAAATATTGATTATAAATTTATACTTCTTCAGGAGTCACTACGCCAAAAAACATAATTTGCAACATTAAAAAGGCAACATTTGTTGATAAATGTTGCTAAAAAGGTCTTTTGGCAACATTTTAGTAAGTGAATGTTGCTATTGATTAATAAAAATGAGTTTTGGCAACATTTTTTGAAAAATGTTGCGATATACCCCATTTTACAACGTTTCTAGAGTGTTGCGGAAGGTGAGACCTTTCGCAACGTTTATTAAACGTTGCGAAAATTCTCACTTTTCGCAACGTTTATTAAACGTCCCCTTTCGCAACGTTTATTTAACGTTGCGAAACGTGAGAAAGTTTCCGCCCTTATTTACAAAAAGTTTCAAATCTCCTTCACGCCTCCCTTATTTCCCAAACCCAGCCCTATTCACGTCTCCATTCCTCACAGAGTGAAAAACGCCGGAAACCCATCTCCGGCCACCCTCTTGACCGGAACTCAACGGCGGTCGAAAGCCCACCTCAAGACGACACCAAACATGCCAATAACTCATCCCAAACAACTTGCCAACAGATTGAATTTACCCCTAAAAATCTCGAACGCAGGGTACTACTCTACTGCAATTTCCACTACCAGGATGGCGCACCACCTGGGTTGGGTGCGCCCTCATCTAGCGCACCTATCCCAGTATTGGGTCTTCACCAATTTGGCCCAAATCGAAATGAATTTGAATCTGAAGTCTGGTGCGAACTCGCGAACGCAGAAGTCAAATTTCTGGTACTGAAAGAAATGTGACTAAATTTTATTTATTTTATTTCAAGGTGCAACTTTTTCTCATTTTTGGTTTTCAGTTAAAGCAATCTGTTATCCTCTGTTAATTTTTCTTTACTGATGGGCAATATTTGTTCTATATTTATGCTAAGCGATCTGTAAGATGACGTGCAGTTTCTATATTAGCTATTGGCTAGTTGATTTGATATTTTACGATTCAATTGTGAACTCATATTTTGCAATCCTGTCCACAACTCCAAATGATAGGTTTGCTTTCTTGCTGTCTCTTTCTCTGTCTCTCCCCAGTCAGTCACTAAACACTTGTGTAATTAAGTGACTGCTTAGGTTGATGCATCTATTTTGCTGATGAATTTCTACCATGTTGTTTTGTCTATGCATATAGCCATATGTTTAGAGAGAGTCATTTTCAGCTCCAGTTTCCCCATTTTCAGAATTTTATCAGTATGTGGACCGTTAGTCAATTCTGAACTTAAAATCTAATCATTTATCCACTTATTGAAAGTTTTTAGAGAAGCTGATTTTGTAGTCTGATCAATATGTTGACAGTTTGATGTTTATCCGGGCTTACATCAACTAGATGAAATGCTAGAGAAGCTAATTTTGTATTCTGAACTGTTTCTGCTGAGATGATCAATGATTTTTCGTCTTTTTTGGTCGATTTATTTTTTATGACACAGAAATGTGGTTCGAGTTCTTGGTCCATAGAACAACCTTCTTCTGCTTGCTGTTTTTGCTACGCGACGAAATGACTGCATTTATCTCCAATAGTTGGCAAACGTCAAAATAATAAGTAGAAATCTTATTAGTGTTGGATTCTATTTATGGGTTTTGTTTCTATCGGATTAAAGTTAAATGTTTTCCTTGAATAGGATCTTTAAAATCCTCTTTTCATCAAGTTGATGATAGAATCTGTGAAAAGAATGGATAAGTAGTTCGAGCTGTAGCTTTGAAACAGAAATATGCAGAAATGATTATGAATAAATGTTACCGGCTGGCTATTCTGGTTTATGCTTGTTTGAGGATCTTTTCCTATTTTTGATGAAGGTTCAAAAGGCAGGCTCAAACAGGGCACAGGGTTCATAGTTCAGTGATGTTCAGGAAAGGAGTTTAAGGGCCTTCCTTTTTCTTTTATTAAATTTTCACGCTGATTTACATGACATATTGTTGTATCCTTTTTGTCCATGATTATGACTTGTTCATGTACTGAAATCTGTGTCCGCATAGCCTGAGAATCTGGTTAAAAAAGATAGGGGATCCATATAGTTGAGGAAAAAGCAATGGCCATGAAATTATGTTCATTTTGGTGAAGTATGATTAACCACATGCATGCTGTGACAACTATGTCGAATATATATCTTCCCAATAGCTACAGTTGAGTTCAGTAGTGCTCTACCCTAGAACTGACTTTTCTCCTCTCTTTAAACCTCTAGCCGGACAAGGACTGTCTTTATCATATCATGATTTCATTTCATCCTTGCATAAGAGCTGGACGGAATAAGGAATAGCAACACGACGCAGTCTATCTACAGATTTATGTTTCTCCGTGTAAACTTCTTGTTGTCCTGTCTTGCGCAATATTATGCACAACGCCAAATAATGGAACCTATTTTATATTTTGGAAAATCCGATTATCTGATGAACTTAGTTTATGTTACTTAATGATATAGGCTTTTAGCAATAATTGCATACTTTTTTCATCTGTCTACTATTATTATTATAATGTTTTCTGTACCTCACGTAGTTGCAGTAAACAAGTGGAAGCAAGAAATATGAATTGCTCAAAAATATAGTTAAAGATATTTTAAAACACTTACATTAATGCCATGAATTAAATTTTCACGCTGATTTACATTCGTATCTGTAAGTTTGATTTCTATTTGGCTAAATAATTTAATTGCTAAGGGAGATGAAGGAATTAAACTTGATTGTAAACTAGTTTCTAGTCTAGAACTTTTATTCAACTTTTCAAGTATCAGCTATTATAAATGGTTTGACATTTGTTCATTTGTAGGGGCAAATATTGATCCTGACCTTCTCTTGGATATTGGCATGATTTTTTTTTTCTAGTTTTAATTTTCTTCCTTTTAAGAGGTGGTGAAAATGAGAGAGGCATTTAATTGAGGGAAAAACCAAAATGTAGTTGTCTTGTCTACCACCTTCCCCGTTATGACATAGAGCATCTCTCACGTATTATTAGTACAAAACTGATGGCGTTTTTAATTTTCCATTGTTTCTCGGTTCTAAGTAAATGATGGTCTAACACTAAACAATTCTTGTTGGAAGCTTCACACTTTAAAGGGTTAGGAAGAAACTTTAGCAAAACCTGTAATTTAGTAACACTTTCTGTCTTCTTGCTTGCAATGTTGAGTTCTTGGATTTTCAATATAATATTTATAGTCTGCCACATCCAGTGGAATTCATAAGCTCAAACAATAGTGTTATATTTTGAATCATTTGTTTAATCTACCTCTTTGCTTTCTTAGTCAGCTTTTATCTTTTACTATTAATTGAGATGTTTGATCTATTTTATAACTAGGTGTTTGTAACTGCATATGCAGACACAGAAGGTTCTGCTTGGGAGATTGAAGCAGCTCCAGATCAGTTGGTAGCTGGGGAACAAGTAGAGATGATAAGGGTGGAAGCAATGAAGCTTGGAACAAAACTGAAGCTTCATCAGAGAATGAGACCCCGTGGTTTACTGGTCTGCATGGAGTGCCAGAGAAGCAGCCATAGAAGATAATTTAAACATTTTATTTCATTTTGAAACTTCTTTTTATTTAGGTGGTGGTGTATTATATTGTAACGTTAAAGTGTGCGGATTCAAAAATTTATAATGAAATTATCAATTTTTATACAATTTGAAAGTTTGTTTACAAATATTCATTTTCAGTTTTGCTATTCAATTTACATAAATTCCTTTAAAAAAAAAAAAAAAAAGGCTTCGCAACGTTTAAAAAACGCTGCAAAAACTCTTCCCTCTTTGGCAACACTGGACTTTGCAACACATGCTGAAACGTTGCTAAAGGCGTTTTGCAGCGTTTTTTGGCCGTTGCAAAAGGCCTTTTTTGGCGTAGTGAGTAGTTATACAATATTTTTTGAAATATTTGTACGAAGTAATAAAATAACTTCAAGAAAATATATGTATGCCTATCACTAATTTGTCTAGCAAAAAAAGATATAATCAAATCGCATAACATATACCGATTTGTTGATATGCAAATAAAGTTAAAAAGAATCTACTCAATTCTATTTTGAACATAAAAGAATAATATATTGCTAAATTGACTAGGATTCATTTTTTGAACCATGCTTGATGTATACCGAGGGTGTACATCATGGATAACAGCCCCCTCACATAGGGGTGGGATCGCGATTGCAGACCCCACGCGGGCCCCAACCCTCACATGGGGTGGGGGGGGTCCTTTATAACATGTTATCAACACAAAGTTTTAGCCGATTGAGTTATCAAAAGTGATTCTCCTTTAATGTTTAAAGATAAAAAATGAAGGGTGTACATTCAGTTTGATAGCCCCCTCACATCCCATGTGAGGTGCAGCATTTTTTATCTTTAAACATAAAAGGAGAATCACTTTTGATAACTCAATCAACTAAAACTTTGTGTTGATAACATGTTATAAAAGTTTTGTATTTTCTTCAAGAAATTTGTACAATTAGTACTTGTGAGCTTTTCATTTTCTAGTTAACTTTAGCATAAATTGTTTTTTCTTTACCTAATTATCGTAAATGATGTTTTTTATATTTGTTTGCTTTATTTTCTTATTTATGTGGATGGGAAAACATGATTTTCATTTATTTTTTCAATCTTTCCAATTTTTCAAGTTTCACATAATGAAAACAAAAATGTTTTGAAAACGATGTTGATTTTCTTTTCTAGTTTCTTCAATAATTTTATTTGTTTATTTATTTACTAGTAACCAAAGGTCTATTACTTTTGTACTTTATTTTCCGCTGTCTGTCACCTATTGGCGCGTTCTAGTCCATCATTACATTGTCAACTATCGTGGAACCCAAAAGCCAAAAATCTTGGCTCTGCTATTGCCTTTGACGATGTTTTAATTCCAACACTCTTAAGGTTTGCATTCAATAGTAATTGAAAATATATATTATGGTCGATAGCATATGACACCAAAATATAATTTTGATTAAGATTAGAGTTATTGTATGACACACATAGAAGGGCATTAAGACCATTTGTCGTGCTCTTTAAGCACTGAGGAGGGAGAATAAGAAAACCGCTTGGACTTATTATAGAATAATCTGAAGATTGAAGGATCGTTTGTTAATACTTTCATGGGTTTTTTTTTTTTTTATGCTCAATACAGGTTTAGGAGGGAGGCTCGGCCACAACTCCTGCTAAAGTTGAAAGCCAAAAATTAAACTTATCATGTCTAGAGATAAAAATGCAATGTGAAAGCTAAATAACTAAACTTCATGCACCTTAATCATATTCCTCATCATCTATGGAGTGTATTTTCGACACCTAGTCATTTCAAACTCGCTACTTGAAGGAGGTAGCGTAAATTTATTATTATACTCCAAGTTTGAGAAATTCATAGCTTCATCGATGATAAACGTTGCTAAAGATGACCTTTCGCAACATTTGATAAACGTTGCTAAAGATGA